GAGTGCAGAGTTGGTAGATTCCCAGACAATTCGCTGACATCGTAGTCGGCACCAAATTACAACTCGGCAGATAGAGCAACATTCACTCATATTTAGTCACGGATATCAATCTCAGATACAAAGATGCTATGGGAGATGTCTAGCTTGCATAAGATCCAGCTATAACATGTGACCAAGTGGCATTCGTGGAACTAATCGGACTCAATTCTCGTCGAGGGTGCCAATAAAAATCAGGCGAGGCCAAGAATGAAGTTCGGACGTGTCTATACGCAACCAGCTTTTGGTAAGAAAAGCAAACCAAGGTGCACTGACATAGAGAGGTCGGACCAAATGAGCTAAAGTGAATTGAAATAAAATAGTCTAAATTAAACTAAGAAGTGGGTTGACCTCGTTGTCGCTACTTGGTCTTGTTGTCAGGGCGACTATGTAGAACGCACCTAGTCCAAAGTCGTCTGCCATAGTTGTTGTCATGATTCCCAGCATCAGACAGTGGACTTGACACATTCTGATATGAGAGGTATTCACCCTATTTCGTTTAAGGTGATGAAGGACTTCATCAACGAGGTCTTGACTCGCTAGCTTGAATTTTGTTATGACGATGATACCTTCCCTACTCTGATGATGTTCGTCATGTGACGGACGAAAGCTTAGCACCTTTTCACCGGAATCGAAGTAGATTGCCTCGGAAACAGCGTCAGCATGAATCTTTCAGTAAAGCCAATCGACAGCTGGTCAAGAGGAATCCGCCGTCGTTTTCTGGTGAATTTGACCTTCGAATATCTTCACCAAACACTTTCGCTCGAAATGGAAGTAAGCACAACAATTATGAATCAAGAGATTCCTCGAAACCCAACTTTTCTTCGCAATTTTATAAGAGTCGGCCTAGAGAAGTATACGCCCATGAAACAAACCTTTTTGGGGTCCAAAATTGGGTTAACAAAAAGCTGCCAAATAGCCTCCTCGAAATACTAACCAATGTACAAAGTTAGGGCAGGAAAATTGTGTCTACAAAAACCAAAGTTTACAGAATTTGTATGGCTCATGACGTCACAATAGGAAATCGGGAAAGTGGTTGGCAAACGCCCTGTGGTCTTCTGTAATGAGATTTGTAGACTCTGGAACCAGAATAGCCTTGACTACAGCACAAAAACTTAAAAAATTATAAAATAGCTGAAACTTCATTTAAAAAACGTATACATCTCACTTCCTAAGCGACTGGACAGTCTCAATTGTAAGCATATTGATTGGTGTTGCCGAGTGTCGATTGGAGAAGATGAGAGCGATTTCGCGTTCCACTTTTATTATAATAATAAAAACAAAATTCTACAAAAAAGATGGGCAACTCACCTGGAGAATGGTGAAATTTTCTAGTACAGAATTCATCAGATCACGTCGTGGCAGTTGGAGTAACTTAGCAATGAAGCTCTTCATGTACTCGCACATTGGACTCCTCAGGAACCGGTATACGTAACGGCCGTGCTCCAGACGCGGTCGCTCCTCCTGAGGCAGACATGCACACAAGACAGAAGCAAAAGAAAAGCAGAACATCTCAAACCTGTTGCATTGGGAAAAGTCGACAATCTGCCTGCGTCATGCTATGCAAAAAGGTGTTGGGCCGCAGAAACAGGCCCAGATACAATATGGTATAACTCCTCGACATTTGTGTACATGTCATCTCTTCGTGCAAGGCTAAACGCGACGCCATGTGATTCCGTCAGAGGCAAACTAGCCACCGAAATTCGCACCGGCGGGTCAGCAACTATGCGGCACTGTCCAAACAACGGACCTTGGTCGGAGCGACAGCGAGAGCCTGTGGAAAGTGCCTAGTTCTGCATCCTTTGCCCAGTTGTTGTGGCGATTTTCACCATGGGACCGTTGACTTGGCACATTGCCAGGCGTCTCGCCTGTATCGTCAGTGGGAGACGTCCTCTTTTGCACACTTACAACAACACAAGATGACAAGTGAAGACAATCCTTTGGACCAATTTTCCGTTCAACCGTTGTGCCAATACTACTCGCCCCTATTTTTTGTCCTACTTTCCAGTATTTCCTGAGATTTGCTTTACTTGACCACAAAGCAAACGTGATGTTTTTTCGAAGGTATGAACACCAAGATGGTGTGGCCTTTTGTGTGGTCGCAGTGTCCTTTCGTTGTATAGAAGTTGTATTGCCTTGGTTTCGCAACTTGGTCATATTGGTAGGAAGACTTAGAGGAACACACCTAGTCCGGAGTCCACTGTATGCATCATTATTTCCAGAGTAGGACCGTGGACGTGGTACATTCCCAGTCAGTCTCGTCATTCTTAGCACCATTCAACAACTCGTCAAAGAGACAAGTGAAGCCGATACGTTGACTAAACGTGTGATAAACAGTTGTGGTACCTCCCCTTCTGCCCTGAGCTATTCACATTTCATATATCCTCCTATCACACCTTCACTGTTACAATTTTTACTGTACCTATTTCGATGTAGTGTGGTGTGCTCCTTTGAGCGGCTTTCATGAAAAACATTCACACTCCACACTGTCGTCCTCACCCCCTTCACCCATGTGCTGGGAATGTTGATCAGAGTCTGCCATGCTGTTACGCAGTCCTCCTTCCCTATGATGGATGCTTTTTGCATCACACCAAACTTATTACTTACAATGATCTGCATCTCTCTGTCTTTTAGTCTCCTCCAATGTCTGCCTAACATTTAGCCACCCTTCACCACGCTTATCATTTGTTGCTTGGTACACATGAAAACCGCTGCACAGCTGGCTATGAGCCTTCTAGTCCGATCCACTTCGGGAATTCGAAGACTGGTGATTCTTCTGCTTTGACACCTTCTTCTCCTTGTGCTTCAGACCCATGACCCAGTTATCCTCTTTCCCATCCCCACTCCGTTCCCACTCATTCTCTAGGGCCAACGAGGTGCATTTATCAATGGTTGCTCCTTAAGAGTTTCAATCGCTGGTGATGATAAAAGGTCCTATAGTGGAGCGACCAAAAAGATTTATTACTAATTTATAGATACGAAGAGAAACTGAATTTCGATTAGTCTCCTAAGATGACATTGTTAGGGATACTTTAATTTCGTATGAAAACGAATGAAAAAGAGATTCGAAAATTGATTGATTCCGGCTGTACTGCATCTGTTTGGCTTCAATACAACGTTTATTATCCTAAACAGAGATGCTTACGAACCTATGCAACCTCGGTCGGGGCTTTTCATTGGTCATTACGCTTTGATGCCCAAAACTTGGCATTCGGCTTTTTTAATCATTCCAAGTTAGGACAGGTATTGCGTATAGGCATTAAGACACAGGCACAATGGCACACACACACACACACAAAGCACTAACTCAAGTAAAAGTTGTTGAGCTAACTTCCATTTCGAGTAAAAGTGTTTGGGGAAAAGATTCGAAAGACGGCGGATTGCCTCTTGACCAGCGGTCGATTAGCTTTACTGGAACATTCATGTTGACGTTGTTTCCGAGGTAATCTCCCTCGATTCCGGGGAAAAATGCTAAGTTTTGGTGCGTCATATCACGAACATCATCAGAGCAGGTTGTCATCATCACAACCAAATTCAAGCTAATGATTCAAGAAAACTCGCCGGCAAATCCTTAAAAAGCGGTATATATACTATACATCTGGTCTGTGATCAAGTATAAAATGAGTTGGTTAGTTACGGTCATATGTCAACTTCGATGCATGTGAGTGTCTGTCTCTGTATGTGTATGTGCCTGTTTGTGTTTGCCTATGCACGAAACCCGCAGTGATGACTCAAAGTAATTAGGATAGCAAAAAATAACGTCTGTTTTTGGCCATCAAGGTTTGACGAACCCTATCTCACCCTTTCTACATACATGTTATAACCGTCACTCCGATTGCGCAAAGTGGGACACACGTCTGTTTTTTGTCTTAATGCGAGAGAGAAAGAGTGAGCTAAAAGTACAGATAAGTCACTATGCTTAGAACCAGGACAAAAAAGACTAGTTGCGTCGCCTCCTTTTTGCAGGCGGCTCAACTCCTTTTTTTTCCTTCAGTCTATTAATTAAGCACAAGTAATTTTTACTTATCTTCTTGCCGGTATTCCTTGCCTCCAATGTATTTCCTATTCAGTTGATTTCGATGCCTTCTCTAATTTTACGTTTAGCCGCAGTCATGCCATAATCAGCAAAACGACAAGTTTGAGACCAGTCAATCTCCGATTTTTAAACTCAGCCTTTACAGCATTTGTGCTCAGCCACCTTTTGTCGAATGGTACGGCAGTTCTCTCCAACATAAAAGCGACCACATGAACACATTGTTTTGTAGCAACTCGATCTGGATAATGGGTCAGCTTTCTTTCTGAAAGTGGACGTAACTCAAGAAAGTGTCGTAATTTCCCTGAAGACCGTTTTTATTTCCCACTTCCTTACTTGTTCGCCTATCCTTTTAGAGAGAACACACGAAGGTAAAGACAAAACATGAGAACAGTTCTCCTTATCTCTCCTTACGTATTCATCATTCAAAAAGCTATTCATTATTAATCCAATGTTATTTTCAATCAAGCCTAGCCGATCCAGTTCATTTTCACAATGGTCTCTATCGGCTAGTCTTATGCTCCGAATAAACAAAGATTTTAAAACGCCAACGTTTGTTTTGTAACTATGACTGGAGAAGAAGTCAAGTATAAAGCCAGCATGTGTTGGCTTTCTATAGACATCCCTGCTTAACTTCTCACCTG